AAGGAGAGACTTGATTATTTTTAATCTTAACTCAATTGATTTATTGTATATTAAAAATTCATGAAAGAAATTATATATATTTCACAATTTTTTTATGTCATTAAATTATTTCAATTTTACAAAAAGTACTTTGATGACTGTCAGATTAATTACGTGTCTCAATTATTGATCTTCTTATTCAACTTGTAAAAACAGAAGCTGTGCATAAATTGCTTTTATAAACCACATTTATGATTATGTCTTTAGATGACGTCAGTCGCATTTGCTGAATAATTTAACACTGAATATTATTTTTTACATTTAACATTTAAGTTTAAGCAAACAAGTTTATCAATACATTATACCAAGTAACAAGTGTCATTATTTTTATTTATTCTTATCGAATAGATAATTTTCTTACATTGTTTTAAAATCATAAATTATCAATTATGTCAAGAGAACATACATTTTATTAATTATTTTTGAAAATGTTGTAATTTTTTTAGCTAAATAAATTAACGAAATGATAAAAGACTGTAATGATATACCGTTACTCTGTCATGGAAAGAGAAGTGCTTGTATTTTTTGCGAATGCATTGTAACTTTTGAGGTATTAAACAGGAAATTATTGGCGTATCCATTGACGATAAAAGTTTCGTAATTCCATGCAATTATAGAGTCACTAATTTGAATAGAGAATTAGTAAGCACACGGGATTGTAACGTTTCCAGGACGATGAAATTTTAAACGCGGGGGTGGGTCGTTTCTGTAATGGGATAACGGGAATCGATGGGAGGATAAAGACGTAGCTTACCTCCGGGGAACATCAACCCTCCATGAAAGCCAATCGAGCACGAACAACCACCCCTAATCGCAGAACGCCATTGGCCCGGAGTTACCCCAATTCTATTACACCTTCTGTCATAGCCATTTATAGCGTTTAATCGACCAGTCCGGATCTCGTAATATGGCGGCGATAAACCAGCTCGTGCACATGCCATCTCACTCTTCTTTTGTCGTTAAATAGAAAAAGCCAATATTTGCAGTTTCAGATTAACTACGAATGCAGCATTTCACAAATCCCTTAAGTCATATTCTATATTTCGAGAATTTTCCGATAAGAAAAAAATGCAGAAAATAATGAGGAAAATAAAAATGCTAATTTTAAATGACATTTTACATTAATAATCTTGATAAAAGTTAGAAAAATTTGCTTTGTTTAAATTGTATGACAGTTTTGCTGATTTTATATGACATTTCACATCATACGAAATTTTGATTAATTGAATAAAGAAATGATTATATGTATTTTATATTTCAATAATTTTCCAATAAGAAAAAAATACAGAAAATAATGAGGAAAATAGAAATGCTAATTTTAAATGACATTTTAAATTAATAATCTTGATAAAAGTTAAAAAAATTGCTTTCTTTAAATTGTATGACAGTTTTGCTGATTTTATTATGACATTTCACATCATACGAAATTTTGATTATAAGATTATTAATTAAATAAAGAAATGACTATATATATTTTATATTTCGATAATTTTCCGATAAGAAAAGAATGCAGAAAATAATGAGGAAAATAAAAATGCTAATTTTAAATGACATTTTATATTAATAATCTTGATAAAAGTTAGAAAAATTTGCTTTGTTTAAATTGTATGACAGTTTTGCTAATTTTATATGACATTCTACATCATATGAAGTTTTGATTATAAGAAGATTATGAATTAAATAAATTAAAAATAATAACATACCTTTTTAAGAGCATAATAAATGAATATTTTTATAAAAATATAATATAATAATATTCTCCGTCTATCTCGTGAATAACTCGATTCATTAGCTTAAGAAAAATATTTTTATCGACTTCGACAGTAATTACTTAAGTAAAGAAGGTATAACTTTAAAATACATTTTCACTTGTTATATTGCGGTGGAGCCAACTAGTTTAGTCCGCTTATCTATGCGTCTGCACACGGGTAATTATTTATATCCACTTTTAAATATTTACCTACAAAATATGCTAGAGAGTACGTTAATAATACCAGCACGGCATTAACGTGGCGATAATAATACGGTTCTGTTCTCTTTTCGAACATTAGCGACAAAAAATAAACCGAAAAATTATGATTTTTCGCAACAACAATAAGTAACAATAACTATACATATATCAGGAAATACACGATGTTAAATATGCTTATAAATAGCTTTGATATATTTCTTTTGCGTATGACTTATTATTGTTACAAAAATATATACGTATAATATATATTTAATTTTTATTTCTAATATGAAAATATGTCTTGGCACACCAATAGATTTGGATATAACTTCTTCACTTCTTTTTAATAGTACTGATTATTTTTTAAGGTACAACAATTATATGCCTATCTTCTAATTAGAATTTGTTAAATACCGTGACTTCATTATATTAACATTTTTATTTTAACAATTAACCTACATTTTTATTTTATATGTTTATCTATATCCACGTGCTTGTTCGTTTTAGGTATCTCGTTAATATAATTCGTTTTACGTATCTCGTAAATTTTCAGGTCGATATGACGAGTCGTTTGCAACCATGTATATACACGGAAATGCGTTGAAAATAACGATTCGTTGTCTAAAAATAACATAAAATAAGCAGTAGCGTGTCTGCACTTCGGTTTTTTTAAATAAATACTAATGTCATAATTAAAATTTTATATCAATACACGATCGAAACAAAAATTAATTATAAATTAAAATATAAATATGTAGTTTTAATTATTATATTAATAAAGTCTTTATCTTCTATAATGACTTCTGAATTAATTATTTAATCGAAATAATATTTGTCGCTCGATATCTTTGTGAAAATTATTATAATATTACTGATTTTGATTACATTATATTATACGTACGCGTGTAATTTGTTAATCCACGTGCTATCTTATTAATTACTTGATAACAAGCCGATAGTTCATAGAGTCGCGGGGAGAATGAGATTCCGTTATCGCACGAGCTCGTTTCGCTTTATCAGCCGACGACTAAATGTTAATTCGCTATTTATTCGCCACCGTAAGAGAATCGAGCAATGCTCGTTATCGCTGCCCGGCGCATATTTTGCATATCAGCCAACTAGGCCGATATGTAGCTTTTCCGTTAGTCGCTTATTGCATCGCGCTCGGACTTTCCTCGTTTCTTCTAGATCTAGATGCTACAGACTCTTGCGACATTGCGATAATATCGAAATATCGAAAAAGATTAATTTATACACAAAGAGAATTTTCTCTTACAATTTAGAAGAATTGAGAAAATTTCATAAGAGTTTCTCTAATTAATATTTACTACAATAAAAATATTAATGTCTATCACAATAAGATATAAAATATGGTCGATTAATTTTACCATGTACATATTAATATTTTTATTGTGGTAAATATTAATCAGAAATTTTCAAGGTGAATTCTAAGAGAAAATTCTCTCCGTGTACAGATTTTTAAAAATAAATTTCAGATTTTAAATATTGCTTACAATCTGTTATCACAATGTAGTAGTTTTATTCATGGGAGGGTGAAATATCGGTCGTTGTTTTCCCGTCGAGATTTTTTGCGGTTTTCACGAGAAAAGGATGGAATGAAGTCTGACGGTGATGTAACAATTCGCTCTACTCGCCGGATCTCTAATTGGGCATCGTCCCAATCACGTATTTATCTACACCATCGATACGTGTCAGCAATAACGACAGCGATACAGTTTTTGCTAGATCCATGGGGCGGACTAATTTCGAGTTAATCGCCATCTTATCGCGATCTTACCGATTTTAAATGCGCCTTAATTAACTCCACCGCTCTTATAAGAGCGGCTGGTTTTTGCTGAATCTCTGGCACAAAAGGCACTCGTGGGGAAAAAGTAAACCTCCGGAGCCGGGATTTCTCAAGCCCCCGGAATGTCGTGCGGCTTTGATCGAAGAGAGGTAACTGATCATCCTTTGAAAGCCTGGTGTCACGATCGATCTTGCTTTTGTTTCTCAATGTTTCTCTTTCCACGGAACTTAATGAAAATATTACGCGAGAAAATTTAGTTATCATCCAATATATTTTTTAAGAACTCTCAATTATTTATAAGTTATTTAAAAACTTTACAAAAATCAACAATAACTTTTATTTTATAAATATTATTAAGTTAGTTTATTATCTATTTATGAATATTCCATTACACTTCTCTCTATTTAATATTACATTTTATTTTTTTTAAATTAGGATTTCTTTCACGATTACAAGCATTACAACTCGAGTAAACATATATGCATGTACATATATTATACGAGACTTGTGTCATTCAAATTGCTCCGATATGTCATTGTAAGTAAAGATTCGATACCACTATGTAATCAACTCGTAGAATAGATTTTTTATGCGACGATAAATTACATAGATCATGCTAATAATTACGCTTCCAACTTAATCAACTCGATAATTAACTTGCCTATCAGATTTAGATTTACTTTGGTATATCATATACCTGTCACGTTTCATAGCATACTCGTTTATTCATATGTAGAACGTATAAATAAAATCCTTGTTTCGTCCAAAATATAATTATCAATCCTTATTTGCAATTTTATTTTTCACATAATTTTGCATATAACACGTTTAAATTCTATGACTCATTGTTTCACATTCATGTATTTTTTATATTTATATCTGATTTTACATTTGTATTATATAATGACAACTATATACGATTATTAATCTTTTTCTCACTTCGAAATAACCGTGTGTGCGAACATTGTTTTTAAAGAATAAAAAATAAAAGAAATAAATCACGATATAAAGATATCGTGATATAAATCGTTTAATATAGAGAAACTTTTCGTAATAAAAATATCTTTTGGCTAAATATATGAATATTTAGCAAAAATACATATTTCTATATGTTCAGCATATATCATGACTATGCTTGTTTCCACCAATGTGTGTGGCGAATTATGATCAATTCTAAGTGGGATTATTTAAGTAAAGACTCACTTGGCGAACTCTCAACGTCCTGGGCAGGTAGTTCCGCTTCCTCGACGTCGACGAGGCTGCGGATGCTGAAGACACTTTTTGCCACTCTGGTCTTTTGTATGTCACCGACGCCGTCCGTGGCTCTTCTGGGCGTCGTGCTGAGATCCATCGTCGATAATCGCACAATTCTCGACAGGGAGGAGGACTCGGGATACCTCACCATAAGCATCGAAATCGTGCCGTTTTCATTCTCGGTGTTGTTGTCCGCATTTTCGTTCACGCGGCCTCATTAACGACACCCAAAAAATGAGTATTATTTGCTTATTATTATATTAAGAAAATCGATTTTTTGCACTTCCGTCCACGTAATTTTGTTGGTGCTCGAGTCCGATGACACTTAACTTTCTCGCGAAAAGTCAATGGCAATCTCGATTTTCGTCGTCACTTTTTTGTGAAAAGTATCTATTTCGTTCGAGCTTGTCACACTCACGTTAATACTGACATTGCACGAAAAAAATGCGTTACTTGCGTTTCCTTATTCGTATCGCAGATACGTATTTAGTTTAGATAATAGACTTATCATCTGTTCATCGCACAATCTCTCTTGGGAAAACTTGACTTTTTAACTGATAAAATAGTTTTTTATAGGTAACAGATACAATGATTACGTATGTCATGATACGTCGAGATGTTATCTTATTGCACTTGTCTCTTGCCGTGATCCGAGATCGATTATCTTCGAGTGTCCGGCTATCGCGTCTTCTACGTCGCACTCCAATGTTTTCCCTGTGATTCACTTTTTGCAATTTAATAAGCTCGATCCTCGCATCGCTCGATGACCGACTGTCGTGTCGCACTTCCGTTTCCGGCCGAGAGTAAACATCGTCGTTTCAAGTATGCTTCTCGTCGCGCGGCTATCGGATCATCGAGTCGCGCATTATCGATTTCGTCGGCGGGCATGTTATCGCGTCGATCCTTATCAGGAACGCGTATCATCGCAAACTGACAAACCGCACGTGTCGCGCGAAAATTACTCTTGTCGGGCTCGTAAACACTCGCTCACGCACGCACGTTTTGTGTTTTCCTCGCACGGAAAGATCAATGAACTCTTTCATGATTTACATGCTCTTCTACGGTCACCTCTCGTTTTGTTTAAGACAGTTTTTGTGAAGACAGTTGTGCTCTTCAAACAATCATTTTCGGAGCAGTGGAAAGATCAGCTGATGATGTTGTGACAGATGAGCCAAAAAATCAGAATCTCCAGAACTGTTTAAAATTTGACAGTTTTAACAGATATTTTCACAAGATGACACTTCGCGCGAGGTTTAATTCAAATTAAATGAGATTGAAAACATCTCAAATAAGCCTAAGTACGCTTCAATTCTTTGTCGAAAATAATCCTCATACTCGTAATGCATATTTAATTCGATATCACTTTTCTCAGATTGTAAAAACTCTGATGATTTTGATGAAAAGTCCGCGCGATTATCATATCCAAGTGAAGCATACTGATTCTTCCTCTAACTCGATTACTTGCATAGCGAAATGAATGAATCATTATGCATTTGATTAACTCCGCAAGCAAGCATCAACATTGCAGCGATATTAAAAAAAAAAATTTGGAATCTATTATCACCCAAGCAATTCAGTCTCACTGTAGTTCTAGAATCACATGTAGATGTTTATATCCACGTATCTCAGAGCACGTTGATTCTCCTTGAACCGATTATTCACGCTGCAACGTGTATCCACATGCACTTGTTTATTAACTTTTCGAGTCCCATCGCGTTTGAATGTGTGCGGCGATTTAATCGATGAGCGATTACCCCGTATAATGACCGTCACTAATATTTCCTGGCCTCGCGTACAATCGACTTGACAGTTCGTGAAGCGAGAGCGAAGCCGTAAGCGCGCGCGGCACACGCGTATCGCGAACTCCAGGCCGACAATGTGCGCCGCCACGTTCCCTCCACTTCGAGGAGGTCGATCGCTCGCCACGCTGCCCCAGGTGATGCCAGGTGGGATAGAGGGGAAGGTGTGATGAGAACCTGCAGACCGCCTTCGTGGAACAAAATGGAGTTGAATGCAAATGGAAACTCCGCCCATAGGGATCCGCCCGCGCCGAGAAAAGGATTGACTCTCCTCTTTTAAACGGAGGCTGTTCTGGCGAGATTCCGATGCTTCTTGTACGTTATCTGGGATGCATATTTCGTTTCTCATCGTTTTTTAACGGATGGAAAAATAATTGGTGAACAGCCTGATGTTGCGAATTGTGAGATGAAGATGAAGACAATTTTTTGTTGCAGTAATATAATTTTAATAGTGCAGCAGGAATTTTGATAGGTAATTTAGATAGTAGCGTTTTAGGTGGAATTTTTTTTTATAGATAGAACAGATTTTTTTAATACGTAAAAATATACAAAATCTACTATTCAAAATTTACATTTACAAATATGTAAAAAATTATTATGTGATTATATTTAGTTTTACATTTATTTTATATTAATTTTATATTTTAATTATTATATTTTATTATTATTATTATTAAAACTTATGTGTTTGGCAAAAATATTTGATAAAAAAGAAGAAAGGAGTTGGGATGATAATTTTAGTAAAGGAGGAATAGTGAAAATATCGTTGCATATATAAATGCATATACGTGATTCTCTTCGATTTATTTCATACGTAGTATTTATTAATTTTAATACATTACGTAGTGCGTTTAATAATTCGCCATAGCGATTATTTGAAGCACCTCGATCAAGCGACGGAATGATAGTTTCATAATATCAAATTTTTTTAACATAGTGCATATAAATTTAATCCTTTCAAGCTCCATTATTTCAGTGTAATCGAATCCGATTATTTGATTAATTTACATGATATAATAATAATAATAATAGTATTTAGTTTATATATATTTATGTACATTTACAAGGAAGATCATTTCTCTGAAAATTTTGCAATTTTAAGATGCTGTTTTATGCAGAATAAAAATTATTTATGCAATGATAGATTAAAAATTATAAAGATTTAAAAATAATAAAAATGCAAAACTGAAAGGGATCTCAAAGTAACAAACTCGTAATAATATTGTTTTTGTTCTGAACGAGGCGTTTCAAATCGCTGATTTTTAATGAGCAGACATTGCCCTGCACAAAATCCGACGAACATAATTAACCTAAGTGACAGTAATACAATTCCTCAGTGAACGTCGCAAATCTCTACGTGACTACGATCATCATCAGAATCTTGAACGAATTAGAAATGATAAAGCGCGTCTTTTCTGTATCGCAAACGCGCAAATGTGTAACATCTAACGATCCAAGGAGATTACATATATTACATTATAACGCAATTGTAATTTCGTATACTTTGAACCATTCAAAGTTGCACTGACAATTGCGTCGTAATACCTACAACAAAATACTCGACGCAGGAAAAAATAAATAATCAATTCCACTTTTCTCTTGGTATAAATGTAAATCTTAATGAAATATGTTCATAGAAAAGCAATCCATGTTTTGTTTTCTTAAAAATTGCGACTAAGTATGTAACAATATTCGAGTATCTTTATATGTGTATTCATTCATTTTTTAAAGTAAAATATATAGTATCGATATTCTCTGTACAAGGAATAACACAGATTATTTGGAATAAATTCTAATTAAATCCGGATTTTTTATTATAATATAAAAAAAAATACCACGCATCTTGTTTTTGGTAACCAACGAAAATTAAAAGCTAGAACCAGAAAATAAAAAGTCTCTTTTATGTACATATTTTGGCATAAGAAAACTTTCGACAAAAACTCAAAATATTAAGAAGTGCACGCAAATTATATATCCTAATGCACACTTAAGTTAATTCATGCTAAAATTATTCGAAATGAAATGAAATTTGTCCTCGAACGTAAAGTGACAAAAATGTATCTTTGGCACAATAAATGTGAACATTAATGTTATCCGTGTCCGCCGATTTAGTTATCTCGTATTGGCATTCTTAATTCTCTTTTCTTCCTCGATCGCGGTATATGAGATCTTTCATGTTTCCTCACATTTATATGGGAAATCACATTAACATTGAAATTAAAAAGAATCGTAATATAGGACAATTACAATTAATAATATATTAGACTTAGCACCTAATGGGGTTATTCACATTGATCGCGCGCGCAAATTAACGATTTCGGTTCTTAACTATTCGCGAAACACTCGTAAATTTCAAGAAATAAAGTACAAATACTTCCTGCTCGGCCTAGGAAAATTAAACAAAAATTTTGCCACTACCAATTGGCTACAAAGAGTCGAAAATTTGGAATTTGACAGCGCGTTGCATTTGATATTTGTTAGACGATATCTAAAAAAAAGAACAAAAAGACAACAAGAGACAAAAATAAATCAAAATCAGTTAATTGATCTCTTGCTTTAATATTATTAACACGTTTAATTAATTTCGTACTCTAATTTATATTGCAGCCCACAGTCCGGAACATGACGAAACATCTATAATAAACAATTGCTTGCTTGAGCTCCTTCGGGGCAATTCACCCTGAATTTAAAATCACAAAACGTTTACGTATACCAGTTTGAACACCTAGGCCTTATTCGTACCATCACTAACTATACTTGACTTTTGTTGGTAACCAGTCGAGGTTTACCATCGACGTTGGAAGTCGCCGGTACATATTCGAAAGTTCCTAACTACTTACCGTCTGCTCGCGCAGAGATCTACTTTTGATCTCTTCTTTGATCTGTATTTGACACGCGACAATTCTTTGGAAATAAGATAAGGGGATGAGACCGCTTTCGCGAGAATCATAAGTATCGAGTATCAGTACCCCTAAGTACACATTTCATTGTATCATGATTTTTGTTCTTACATTGATTACATATTAAGAAAAAATATACTCTAAATAATAGAAGCCATATAAAATACAATTATGGGCTGATATCGCGAAGGATGATTTAAATTCGAAATTTATATTTCTCGCACGAATTGAAGCAACAATTTCAATTTTTATTGAAAGTGGATACATTTGTGGATTAAATTTTTCATTTTTTTTAAATTGCATTTAGATGTAATATAAAATTTGTTACCAGTAAGCACACACAGAATGTACTTAAGGATACTGATACGTGAGAGATAACGTCGTACATTTCGAAATAAAAATTCGTTTACATTTAACACTATTTGCATTTAAGGCATGTAACGATAATGAAGCGATAAAAATCGAAGATTCATATAACATGTCTTTGGGATACTCGTATTTACGGATTACCAGCCTAGTCTATAAACTCAGCTTTAGCGACATCATGCATGCGAGATATTAGATCACGGATTTACAGGACTACACTATTCAAAAGCTTGGATATTTTTGTCAGCCCAGCGAAATCGAGTCTTAAAAGGTTAAATGTCCACTTTACTTTTCTTTTAAAAAAAATTAAATATATATATATATATATATATATAAGTTTACATAATCCATACATATACAAATACATAATATAAGTCAAACGTAAAATTGCAAACTCTTCAATTCTTTAAAAGTATTTTTGATTTATGAAATTGAGAATTCTCAATTTTAGGATTTTTTTAACTTAAAGATTAAGTGGACACGCAGCCCAAGTCTCAATAGGTCCTACATCTAATATCTCTTAATTCCATATGTCTGTCTCTCTACTTTATAAAATGCCCGTCCCGTATTTCTTCCGGGACTTCTAAGGATTCAGCTGTAACTACGAGCAAAAATAAGCATCATCGTATGCCTGGTCTCGTTTCTTCATATAAAATTCGTTATATCTAATTAAGTGTCATGGTTGACTGCAGTCTATCGTTACGTCGTAGTTTCATCGATTTTGCTCGCGCGCGGTTTTTTTAATGAGAAAAACCCGTCGCTCGATATTAACACAGGTTGCTTATCGTACGAGGGATACAAAAAAATTTATTTCACATATAGATAGCTTATATACGCGACCGCTTATTCGACGTTTATCTTCTTGTGGTTTCAAAGCGATTCATCAATTCTACGAAGCGCCCGTGCAAAAGTTATAGCGACAAAGCGACTTATTGTCGGTTCGATAAAGAATCACTTCGCAATCGAGACTATCGACTCGTTGTATCCTAAGGATTATCCTCGAGCTTCGGAACAACCCGTATAACACAAAAATTCAAAAAGATGCTTTTTAGAGACCTGAAAAACTCGTCTTTTAGACATCTGAGAAACATTTCAGAAACAACGAAGATGAGCTAAAGATTTGCGAAAGATTAAGCATGTCTCTTAAATGTTTAATATCTAAAAAAATTGACATCTTTTTTAGACATCTTTCAGATGACTTTGGACGTCTTTCAAACGTTTGTGTTATCTAAGAAGTATATTCGCAAAAACTCTATTCGCGTGACAATTATTAATTAAGTATCGCTATTAAATCTAAATTCTAGTTCTGAGTATTTTAATCCTCAACTGGTTTAATGTAATTTGCATGATTGAATATCAGTCTGCATTATTCTATTAATTAAAATTGAAACGATTGAAACAATTGAAATAATTTTCATTAAAAAAATTTTTAAACCTTATTCTTATTTAGAATACATTTTAATTTAATTTAAAAAACGCGAATTTACCCTTGTTTAATTAATTCAATAATCATTAGCTTGCCAATTAATTTTTTTAGTTCTGAAATATGTTACTTTACCAGTTAATGATTAATAATCAGCTCGCGTATCGAGTCAGTCGATCTGCAAACCCTTCATCCACGTCGAAAAGGAAGCGATCGAGCAAATTTCAGTTCAGTCTCGACGATTCGAAAGAAAGCGTCATCGCGCACTTTTTGTCTAGCTCGTCTCTCGGAGCATATTTCGAGCGCGATCTTTGCTTACGGCTCATCCTCTCTCTTCTCGAGGAGGGAGGAAACCGACTCCTGATCTCTCGCCAAATCATCTCGCGAATTAGATAGTCTGGCGCTAAGCAGGCACGTGGTTCGGCATGCTCGAGGAGGTTTGCAGTGGCGATCGTGTCTGATGGAATCTTAGCAACTCGGATACGGTGACCGCGACTCGCACGACCCCACGACCTCCTTCCAGGACGTCGCTGGCGCAGCACATGAGGTTCTGAAAAATTACCAAGAAGAGTGCACGTGTCTTAAGTAAGTCCGTTTTACTGGGCAGCGCGCGTATACTTGTTTCACTTCAAAATGCAACTGTAAATCCGCGAGTTTTCTATTTTACTTTGAGATACTATAGAATATTTAGAATTAATTGCGTCAGCAATTTAAGTCGTAGAAGTAACCGAATCGGATATCGAAACGATATTAAAGATTGAATGGTGAAATTTATTATTTATTTAAACAGCTCGAATAATATATGTATACATGAAGATTTAAAGAATCTTTCATGAAATAGAAGCAAAGGAAAGACTGGAAACGCGTGATTAAAAAGATATGTATACAAATTTAAATTTGATAGAAAAATTACCTCTCTAAAATAAATATTCATTTTCTAAAAAAAAATTATATTGATATCTTTAAGAGATTCTACGCAAAAGCGTCACGTGTGAAAACATATAATTAAAAAATAAATCGAAGTTCGAAATTCCTTGAAATATACTTAATTCCATCATTAAATCGAGCGAGAACACAATTTAAGAAAAGGATATATTTTATTATAAATGGCTATAGAGTATTTTTTACAATCATTATGCTTTACTCATACAATCAACATTACAGAGCATACCTCAAAGGAGGAAAACAAAGTCGATGATATCATTGTCATCCGAGTGGCGAGGCAATTATGGCAAATAAAAGATTTAGTTCTTGACGATCGAAATTCAAAAAAAAAAAAAAATGTAATTGTCTCGCCACTAGAATTGTTCTCTCTAATAACGAAGCGGTCAAGGATGGACGAGTGTATATATATATATATATATGACATTAATTTATATAAATAAATTAAATATAAACGACAAAAACGAAGAAACATTGTGGGGATTTGTACATACAAATCATTTGATATAAATGCGTTACGGTAACTCGATTCTAATGACGATCGAATCAGGCTATATAATTTCATTCGTTTAAATTGGGCAGTGTACCATTAAGACACGTACGTTGAATATTAATTAAAAATTTATATTCTTTTATTATTCGCTAAGTAATATATATAGCATAGGATAGATTTAACGAAAAAATGTCGACTAATTGAATATTAATATGTATATAACCGGACGTTAAGTAGAGATATATATTTTACCTATTAAAATTTTTTAAATTATTACCAAATAATTAATAATTCATGAAATATATCTTTATTGTTTTATACTTAAAATATGATATTAAATTTTAATTGCTAAACGTTCCTAGTTTCTTTCTTAAAAAAGCAAAATTTAAAAAAATTTAGGCGAATTAGCAAACATATTTAAAGAGAATTTAATAATTTATTTGAAAATAATTTTCGTAAGGATTTACTTTAATATTTTAATAATAATATTTTATTCTCTATTTTTTGTATGCGCGTATATTGAATGTTAATGAATAATCGTGAGAAAAATGCGATGAAAATTATACCCGATTCGATTGCAGTGATAGAAATGTGTTTTGCATGCACTTTTCAAAGATCAGCTGACGCTGAGCGCTTCATTAGAGAACCGAGGACCGAGTCGAGGACGAATCGATCATGCTGGGCTCACCGATCCTGACTCCGCTTAGACTACATATTTCTATTTAGAAAGGAATTATTGTCTGAGCTCGGTGAGCAGGCACGATCGATCCTGCAAGTACGAGGCGGCGTTTAGCGAGACGCCGCGGAATAAATATAGATACGTATATAAATAGACGAGAGGAGCTTACAGAAAACAACAACGAACAAAAATATATACCAAGCACCAAGTGTGGATTAATCGAATTAGCGAATAATTTAAATACTTTACATATTTTAACGCTTTGCTGAAAAACGAAAGAGAGTGTAAAAAGAAAAAAAAAGGTGAGAAACGCCGCAAAAAAGAACTATCTTCAACGAACCATATATCTGTCTCCATATAATATATCTATCTCTATATATATATCTGCATAATATATATAAGCTTCTTCGCGTAGTTTACAAAAATTAATTATACAATTATATAAGCTAAACACGCAACGGAATGATTTCATATTTCTCTCTCTCTCTCTCTTGTTCTCTCTTCCTTCTATTCCTCTTTTCCACTCACTTCTCGATTCCTAGATATGCTTAATAGTGATGTAGCCTCTTGTGAAAGCGAAAGCTATTGGTAAAATTTCAATACGACGATCTACGAGATTAACTCTCGACTAGTGCAACTGCATCGAATCAAAAAATTCAGTGTAGAATTTTTATTTATAAAACACTACTGAAAATGTAAATCTGATACAATTAATTATTAAAATTTTATAATTCTACAAACAATCATTGTATTGACATTTCGATCTCAATTATAACGCATTAATTTCTGTTATGAAGATTTAGCCTAAGTATCTCTTGGATAATCACGTAGATCAGTCATAGATCGCTAGTGCTAAGCAATTGACAATAAGTAATAAAGTAAACACCGGTATGCTAAATTCGAATCCAGTCTTAAATTGTTAAGAATACTCCGATATTTCTCGCTTCCAATTCTAATGTGAATAATACTGACATAATAATGTGTGGTCGTGTCGCGACCATTCCTATCCGCGTCCTCGCGAAGGATTATTAGGCACTCATCGTAATGATCGATGATTAAACGTATAATGGAATATCCAATGATTTGTCATCTGTGTGACAAGTGCTTGTTTGTTATTCCATGGACGCGATGGACGATCCACTTGGATGTAGATGCGGAAATTATTAACGTACGCCTAATTACATTTAACACTTGGAACGCCCGGAAATGTAATTTGTCCGGTAACTATGCAATTTAAGCTGCAATTGACATTTGCAGTTTAAGACTTCCGTCATTTTTTATTACTTAAAAAAATCCTATTTTATATTAATCGTTTATTGCGCATATTAATTTTTATCTATTATTAGAATGTAAATCATATAATTATTAATGTATGGACGAATATAAAAGAACTTTAATTAATGATAATTATTAGCAGCCAATAAATGCAACAAAATTCGAATGAAAGAAGAATTTTAAAGACAGCTGTTTTGATAGATTAAATATATGTGTGCGACATATATTCTGCATGAATAAATTATATTCAGGGTAAAAATAACGCACAAGATAAATTAAAGCGTAACAGTTGTAAAAAGATGAATCGAACACGTTTCAGTTTTAATAGCAAAAAGAGGACATTCTCTAAACTAAATCGACATTAAATTAAATAATATATTACAGAATCATTTATAAAACGCAAGTGAGATATGCTAAATTTATTCAAAGCGGACTGTGAGGAAAATTGCAGAGGACAAAAATGCGAAAAAAAAATAAACTGACTAGAACGCGGATATAGTTCGATACTTATATAACTAACGATATTATTGTGGACTAGAAAGTGCAACTCACACTCGAAACTGCAAAAGAAAATGCAATGCATACCCGTCGAAATCATGCATCCCCTGGCAAGATCGTGGATCAAGTTCGAGTCGCAAAAAATCATGAAAAATACGGCTAGTTATTTTTTTTTTTTTTGCATTCTCTTAAATGATATACTGGCATACTGCATACTTATAGTAAACGCGCGTATCGACTCGCGACACGATACGTATAAATATATACGCTTATACATATATATGTATTATGATAGTCTCCAAGTATGAAGTGGTCACCCGTTATAAGGCCCACTTATGAAAATGCGTATGAAAGAATTCTACGCTTCTCTTTTACGCGAAGAATGATTTCGTCCCTCTAAAAAATTCCACTTGTGCGCTCTCGAAATTCGGCTCTAGTAATTCGCAACGATAGAGATGCTGTTTCGCGCTAGAATCTGTCCAATGACGTAGATCTTGTCGGAAAAAAACGGAGAAGACATAGGTCCTAAATAAGATATTTGGCACTATTTGAATATGATATTGAATAAAATATTGTGACGATTACGATCAAAAAAATCGATTCTGAACTATATAGCTGGTTCTCAGACTACATCGGATTTAAAAAACGCATTGTTGATATTTATAAATCAGTCGAATTTACGATATTTGATGTCCTTTTTCCGACGAAGATCTCCGTCCCAACTGCAAATCTGAAGAGCACATTACATTAGGAGCTCTTAACAATATAGTATAAGTTATTAAATATTATATAGATACATGCCCTCTACGTTCTTATCGTTTCTTTTTATGAAAATAAATTGGCAGGTAGCAGGCACCGTGTCTCTACCGTAGTATATCATAGATCGCAGTCATCAAGTCACTTTGATCAAGTAATGTGTTTTTGATAATTATATCGGTATTTTTATAGTTATTTTTTTACTTGGAAGAGTAAATATATTGAAAATTAAAGTCGATAATTTAATTTTCAATACCACCTGTAGAATTTTGATTGTTACGTTCTTAGCGATCATAAAATTCGATTTAAGATAGATTTTCCAAAAATACAAATTAAAATAACTCCGATCTACTTGTAAGTATCACGATCGAATTATTTGGTCGAATAAAGTATTGAAGAGTGCTCTATTTTGTTTCCTTCCTTTCTGAAATAAATATGTCTATTTTTGTGTCAAATAACTGCATATAAAGAAGACAATCGATCTAAACTTACGAAATTACGAGCAAAGAAACCGATATACCCCTAGTAATAACTTACAACAAACAAATATAAACATCACCTTATTATCTTTCAAATTCTATCTCTCGTTAGACCTTACGTACCAAAATAGAAAATCCTCGAACTAAAAAGAGATTTCCTTAGCACCTTTTTGTGAATCCTGTAATATATTTGCAGGCTACCTATCACAGATCCACCAATCCTGAAAAAGCCATAGATGGCGGTTCATTGGTCGAATCTTAAAAAAATACTACCATCGAAGGCAATCGATAGCTATCCTTTCGTTTCCGCTCATTTTTTCTCTTCCTGAGAGACAATCGCAGATCCCAGGCATATTAAACATACAAAGATTGATGTCGCAATACTAGCTAAGACGATTGTAAATCGGAGGCTTTCATCGTATAGAAGGCAATGAATACTTTCCGAGAATACGGAACAATTAAATATGTAGGATGAATATATACGATTTATACAATTCTTGAACAAGTATTGCACACCACCATTTTCCCGATTTTGACCATCGTTTTCATCCTGCTTTTTATCAAAATATCATCTCATCGGTTCAGCCGATGATGAAAATCAGCTTGCACGATCGCAAGCGACGATCCGACAACCAATTCATTCTGTAAGATACGCTTACAGAAACCAGACAACCAAATGATATGCGAGCGCGCCTTCGCCTTTGATTGCGCTCTTTGATTTTACGTCAAGGTAACTAATGAGACTGTGAAAGAAAATTTTGCTTGGACAGTCGTGTTTCTCGTGTTTCGCAACGTTGTTATCTCACGAACTCTCGCATGCAAATAGTATACATCGTCAATGAAAAATGAAGGCTCTTATCGAAACAAAACTTACGTAATACTTATCCGATTAAACATTTCACCAAGCTGCCTATATCGATACTTAAAAACTATCTCCAAAAATTCTCCGTTGACCATGAGGTTTCTCGCTCGCGCATTCGAACTCGCTCGAGCGAAGAAACTTACGCAAACGGAGGTCGAAAAAAGCGAACAACCCTGTTTTAAAGCTACTAATCTGTGATAAATCGAGATTATTGAGAACTAAGTACTCTGCCTCAGCGAGGTCCTACGAAAAGATATATTCTGATATTTTTTAAAACGCCTAGACGCGGCGATCACGAATCATTCTTTGATGTGTACGCTCTGAAAGACATTTTAACAACTCGCAGAGCGTTTCGACGTCGACGATAATTACTTTCTCATATAAATATTCAAGTGTTTAGTTTTTTCTCACAAAAGAAAAATGTCATGCTCATCACCGAACCATTTCTAAGTCTTTTCTTTTCGTCTAAAGAGATCTGTGTTAAATATCACCTGTGCGAATCCTCGACGTCGAAATCCAATTCCCTTCTCCGCGACACTTTCTCAAATCTCAATAAATATAAATGCAAACAAAAAGTAATCGAACACGCCGCCCTAAGAGTGTCAAATCACGAAAGAAACATTGAAAGTGTCGCGCGTGCATCGTTGTTTAAACGAGATGATAATTCTCAGATTTTTGATGAATAAAAAAATTTTTTCTGGGAATCGTCATCTCCAGATATCGTAGTTTTCATTCTGGCACACTTTCTTTCTCCCCTTATTTTAACTCTCACAATCAGTCACTTCTTCGTTTCTGTCGCGCGCACTGGCGGCTCTTCATTCTCGTCACTGTCTTACTAATTGGGGAGCGGGAAGAGGTAGAGCAGAACCAGGGTGGATAGGAATGTCGCGAGAAGCATCGCGGATAGAACGCGGTCCTGAATCGTACGGAGTGAATCTGCGGCCGGTTTTTCGGTGCCACTCCCCCCCTCATCGCGAGCAAGGAGAAGAGCGGTGACGAGACGCGCCAGAGCCTCCAGCCCGTACGCGTCCATGTAACCCACGTCCATGATTGCGTCCGCGTCCAACAACGCCTCCTGCAACACCAACAACGATACTACTCAGTCCCAGTTTCTACGTCGCCGCACTGCGAGAACATTTCTCACGTGGCCTTAAGATATTTTTGTTCTCTTTGAGAAAGGCCCTACTTTTGTATCGATGAGAAAAAAGCATCCTCGGGGAATAGTCATCCTTGTGATTATTATAATTGTCTGTAACTTATCGCCGTATTGTATAAGGAAATCGTTTGTGCGAAAGAACTTTTGATAGAGTTTATATCTTTATTTTAATATTTGTCAAAATTGATAGATAATTAATTTGCTCGTTCATTCTTTAATTCTATCAAAAGTTCTGTCACGAGAAAGCGATTCAAGGACATCGAGAGGTAAAATGGGAAAGCAGATAAGCAATTTTAGATTTTATGTAAGATGATGAAAATTATTTTGGATCGTTTGTACAGTTAGGATAGTGTTAGAAACCCAATGAATGTTAATTGAGAGATGAGACATTCGGATACTGGCAGGAAGGGTGAGAGCCTGAGATACAGACTGTTCCCCGAAGAAGCGACACAAAAGCGGATTGGAATCTAGGCACATGCAACTAAAGCTTCTTCGCTAATTTTTTCCCTTCTGGTGATTTTATATTCTTATATATAATATCTATACATCCGTATTTTCATTTAGCATTTTTTTTAAAAACGGTTTACACTCGATCATAATCTGATTCAAATCGGGGACTGACTAGTAGTTGTTGGAAATATCATCGAGAAATGACGGCTATATTGCCGAAGCGTTAGTTACGACGTACACAGACGTTCGGTTACAAGTGATATGTGTGATAAATTTTTTTTTCGTTCAACTGTTCACCAAGCAGATCCGATAGGTCGGGCTTAAGTAAGACAACATGGAAGTATCGTCGTCAATTCGTAATCATGTTTTATAAAGAGTGTTTTTTCACACTTCTTTTGTGTCTCATTTTTGTATTTTACTCTTCGGTGATCGGTTATTTAATATAATTACTACCTATCGTGATTCTCGTATCGCATCATTATTTACAGATGAGAGACATATCGGAATAGTTCGATTGATTTAGAAGTATCCATGAAATTTATATGTTTCCATATGCTAACGATGACAGCATGTTTCATGCATGATGATATATATATCCTGAGCGAAAGAGAAGCACAAACTTTTTCGAAACTAACTGATAAGATTTGACGATATTTCTTACCTCATCGACGCCAATCTTTCGACACGCCTCGAGGAAGTTGTCGACATTACGCCTGCATCGCGCCATTGTCAGCTTAGGCTGCAAAAAAACATTAATGTCATTATACTGATAACCAAAATTGTATATTGTAAAAATCACAAATTATATTAAAAAAATATACTTACTACAGCGGGAGAAGGAACATGTATACTGGCAACCGATCGTGGTCTGACATGATTAGCCAGGTGGCAAAGAACAACGCCGTCCGTTAATGCTGGTGCGAGGTCCTCCGGCAGTGCCATTTTTAATCTCGTCTCTATGTGCTATAAAATAAACATGATATTTTCTTTGTCCGTTATAGATTATATAATATTATAATTACAACTGCTTTTCGTTATACTTACATGTCGTAGTTGTTCAATCAAATCAGCTTCCTCTTTGGCGCGTTCAAATTCTCTTCTCATAGTAAAAGAATACTTTTCAGGCAAATTACTGTTCCACGTAACGGATCCTGGAGATTTCGGACTGCCACCGTTTTTGCTTGGACTCTTATTGCCTAATAAAGATAAACATACTATGTATATGTGGTATAAATTAAGTCTTTCTTCACTGCGTAGAATGCATAGGAGAAATTTTACATTTTTGTAAAATTGCTCTTATGCATTATATAAATGTAATTTTTCTTTAAAAGCGATTCTTAAAAGCAGCGATCATAAAATTGTATATTATATAGTTTTACTTATAACTATAGAGGTTCACCTTCTACGTAACCAACAGCGGTTTTCACCAGCCTGGGCGCGTGTGCTGGACTCGTGTTCACAGACAGGATACTACTGCAAGTTTTGATGGGCGAGCTAGGCTTTTTGTAAGGTTGTTCGAAATATTTTCCGGTCTTGTTGTTGTACTCGTTGTTGCTGCCGTTAATGATCGGCGTGTTTTGGTAGTTGATTCGCGACGGGGTGACCTTCTGCACCGGCCTCTTTAACGCGTTGTCCTCGTTAAAGATTTGCTTACCAGTTAGAGTAATAATTTCCTTATTGCTCGAGTCGGTCGAGTCGTTGTTTTGCGACTCATTGCCTGGTGGTGTCACCTGTTCGCGAGGTCTATATACGCTTAGACCTTCGTTAGCTCTCTGCAGCTTCAGAGCTTCCTTGTACTCCCTAAGAGATAAGATAGTTTATAATTTCGAAGCTTTATGCGTCATTATTGCATTCGAGAACATGATATAATGACTTTCATGAATATTAAGTGATGATCTTTGCGAATATGAATGGTTAAAGCAAGACAACTATATATGTATAAAAAATATTGAAAGCATGATAACAACACTCTTTAATCTTCTAACTTGCAAGAATTGAAAATAAAAATAAAAAATCATTTTTAATCAAAGAGTATAATCAAATGTCCAGTCTCTGAACGCTTGAGAAAATGAATACGGCAGCGTTGCTTGTAGTTGTTTAACGTATATGACTCGTCATGGCACTACTAGAACGCGTCTGCTGGAGGATTCAAGTACGGTTGGATGAGTAAGATGAGTGTAACGCAAACGTAATAATGTGAATGAGATAAACTCAGACGGACAAGAGCTTTTGTACGGTTCAAAGCAGAGTTACCTGTACGTTTGTATGTGATTCAATGGCCTCTTATCGTCGCCGTTCACCAGGCTGGCGGGATTCATCGCAGTCTGAAGCGGGTGTACCGATTGCGCGGACGGTGTCTGCTGCGACTGACTCGTCGTCAAATGCGTGGATTCCAGATGGCTGTAAAAAAGGATCGCCAGCCACGATAATGCACATGCATGCATGCAAAAGTATACGTATATAAAACTACCGTGTCCGTGACAAATTCGTATCACAATATCAATGGGAAACACCGACAGAGAGGGGACGCGTTCGTTTATTACGGAGGGAAAGCACGCGGATCGAATAATCATTGTAGCGAAAGGTTTCACTTACCCCGGTGGCGTAATCGATGTGTGATGAAGGCCAGAGATCATCGGTCTCCTAATGTCTGCCCCGTTCTCCGATGTGCTCCTCTCTAATCTCCTCTTTTCCAGCTGATCGTGCAGTATCATCGCCTGCAAAAGATTTCACTTAAGACTTTAAGTTTTAGATCAATAAAAGATAACTTAACAATACAGAATTAAACGAATTAAAAAAAAGGATTTAATTTTTTTTTTTTCAATCTCTTAAAATTTTAAATTTCTGAGAAAAAATATTCTCAATCAATTTTTTACCTTTTTTTATTCTAGAATTTATTTTTTAATTAACTCTATGATTATATAGATTTCAAAACAAATTAATATTAAAAAAAATATTTTTACATGTAAAAAAAATACTATGAAATTGATGAAAACAATGAGAAATTGGATACATCAGATTTACATATGTAATATATTATTACTGATGCATTACGCTGTAATAATATATAATTTTAAAACATCGTGTTTTATCAGGTCAAGGTTCTGTAATGAGATTTGAGCGACAGCCAACAACGGCTTGTCGAGACGACTATCATTGCCGTGGCTCTTGACTTGAGATCTATTCGACAGCTAAATATAGCGTCCATGTCATCTTTCAGATTCTGTAATATTCTTTAGCACTCTTTGCTCTAGTTAGTAATGCAGTTTAATAATATGTCTGTAATAACTATAGATATGATCTAATTTTCCATTAATCTATTATCAAAATATTATATTGATATCACTATTATCTTATAGAAATCCCACTTGATCATGGATCATTTTTAAGAAAATCTAATTGCCTGAAGAGATATAATTTTTAATTTAATTCAACAACAAATATATATGGATGATCGACATTTTTATTTGTTAGATGTGCGAACTAAAGAAAAGAGAATTTTATATTCAAATGGCAGTTACACCATATTTGATAAACAACTCGTTGATAAGAGAAAATTGAAAAATGTCATCTCATTATATTTCTCACGAAATACTTCATATCTTGAGACAATCGGAAGATTGATTGCGAAGCCTTTTGTACGATAACTTTACGTGTTAGCCTACCTTGCCCAATTCATCTTCCAGAGACGTGTGCTCCCCAGGTGAAATCGTGCTAGGTGTCGACGTGCCACTGCAGGACCCGTTCACGCCTACCTCGTGCGGTAGCGTTATCGAAAGCGGTGAGCATTCCTGCCGCCACAAGCCGCGTACTTCACCGTCGTGCACCTGCACGCAAATGGTGGCCAAATAGGAGGCATGTCAAATTTGTGAATGGTGTGCATCTTGCGTACCAGTAGAATTTTATTCATGCACTCTCTTTTGTACAAAACATTCTATCGAAAGCGAGATTACTGATATAAAGTTCTTTTTGTACACAAAATTCATACAAGATTTGCACAAAAACTTACAAGTGTATGTAACAAGTTTTTTTATTATAATTCTAAGAAGTCATATGAATAAATGAATAATAAGTCATATGAATAAATAATTATCCTTGTGGTCGGAACAAGTGTCTGTAAAGCAAAAGCACTTTTTTTACAGCAAGAATACAAAGCAAAAGTATATCACACTTTATTGTCATCGTAAAACATGTATTCTTTTTTATTTACAAAATTAATTATTTTAATAATTTAATTCTTTCAACTACGCACACATAAATAAATGCTATAACATCTTGGTATTTTCCATTCATTTTCTTGGATAAAAAAAAACAAGAATGTTTAAGTCATACGATTCAACAATATTTCGAAATTTGTTTTCTGTACGAAATAAAAGCAGAAGCGCGTTAATGTGCTCCGGTTTATTCATATGACCCATTATTTCGGATCAAAGATCCGCGGGCGATTCGGCGACAGACTCGCCGAATAGCTTAGCGAGACAGCTGCTGAACGTGTGTAGGAGATGGAGCGACAACGAAAAGGCCACGAGAACGACGGCGAAACTAACCGCGCTGTGGATTTCCTGGGACCAACGCTTGTCGACGCCATCGCTCGTGCTGTACCCGCTGTCAACGTTGTGCCGCCGATGCGACCTCGTGTCCAGCGTCACGTGACCCCTCGCGTCCAAAGGTGCTCGCCGCGTTCGACCACCTCTGGCTCTCTCGTGTTTCGCTGCCTGCCTTTCCAAGTACTTGAAAATGTGCGTTCGCCCGCGAATGCATAGCTGAAATCGGCAAATAAGAACGACCAACGGTTAGAATCGGTATTCTGAGAAGAGATGTTCCCTATATATTTCAGTTCCCCTTATTTTTCTTCCCATCGATATTGAATGTTCTCGCGTATGAGAATTTAAATAAAGTCTCGAATAAAGTATAGGCGTAAGGCACTGGTTTCGTAATCAATTCCGTAGGGTGTGAAAAGTCTACGAATAAAGGAAACGATGGAGTAATATCGTTTACGGGTTATTAAAATTTGTCGGTCTGAGGAAAGAGCGTAGGTGCTTGTGAGCGTCAAGAAAAATAGACTCTCTCTATTAAATAAAAACGGATGAAATAATTCGTTTACGAATGCTCACCGAGGCAGGCGGCGAGGTCAGCGGATTGTCGGACAGTCTGAAATCCACCAATCCCTTCATCTTCCTCATCTCGTTCGGAAGCACAGATATTCGATTGCCGCTAATATCCAGCTTCACGAGCCTCAGGTACGTCAGTTCTACGTAAAAATACGTTTTAAGAACGTTAATTAAATTTCTCTTCAAATCCTCCGATAATTATTCAAGCTAAAAAACAATTTTAGATTCTAGATTTCATGTTAGATTTCCTTTTTTATTTAGAATTAATTTTCTTATCTTGTTTTTTTTTTAACTAATTTATATGACATATGTCAATTCAATGCATTAATTTTGTAAGGTCTAATTTATCGAGAATTATACTTACAAGCAAGTTTTTTTGCAAGGACTATTTTTCATACAGATTGATACACTTTCTTAATCGTTGATCCGATCGTAATATAAATGCAATTTGCTATATGTGTCGCAATCCTATTAAAAAGCCGGGCCTACCTATAGGCAGGTGCACCAACAAGTTGCTCCTCAAGTCTAGAGACCGGAGCCGCGCAAGGTCGCCTATTCGAGGTGGAAGGCTCGTGATTTCGTTGCAACCTGCGTCCAGTTCTGCCAACGCTGTCATCCTGCCCAGTTCATCTGGCAGAGATGCTAATCTATTGTGCGCGACTAGCAAGGTCTGGAGGGGTAGCCTGCATATCTCTCGAGGTAGTGACGTCAATTGGTTTCGACTAGAGACGTCAGGACACATTGTTTTTTTTTTGTAAATAAAAACTTTGCCAGGACATTAGCAGAATTATGTCTCTTATGCGTCAGAATTTTATTCTTAAGAACGAATAATATATACAATCGACTTTAGTGGTTGATGTTATTTTTTAAAAATATTATTAACTTTATTATATATATATATTACTTTTATTTTACTAGATTTTTAACTATATTTCATGCTATAAAATATAGAACAAGATATAAGTAATCTTCTGATGTGGTTATCGATATGAGTACGTTTTATCATACAGGATGTAGATATATATATATATATATAAATCATATCGACACGGATGTCAATATAGATAAGCATATATACATAAGTGTACAAACCTAAGATCGAGGTAGTTCAGGGATTGGAGCATCGAGACGGTTTCCGGGATTATTCTTATGGCATTATGGTAAAGGTGCAGCTTCTCGAGGAATGGAAATTCCGTGACTTCCTCCGGTAACTCACTGAAGCGATTTTTCGAAAGATCTGTAACAAAAATAAAATATCTTTAAAAATTGTTACAATAAAACATTAAAAAGAAACGTAATTTCCAGAGATGTAGCATAATTTTAATAATAAATTAGAGAACTCATTTTATGAACACAGGCCTGCAAAATGGATTTTGCGCTAATTTAAAAGCTAATTTGCAATTAAAAATTGTCTCTCTGCGTCGCAAAATCTTGCATTTTTATTAGCACAGTCCAAAGTAATTAAATTGTACTCGACAACATCGTACAAGCAATAGACGATCTTATGGCCGCTACAATTGGCCGATAAAACTCATTAAGAAGGGAATACTATCGAACCGTCTTAATAAAGTACCGATATTGTCTCCCATAGCAACAGCTGTGCTCCGATTAGGGCGGTCTTAGGGTGTAGCTGGGGGTTGTTATGAATGGGGCGCGACGCGGCCACGTGCGCGCACAGTCTCGAAACGCAAGGGAAAGGACAAGGGTAGCTCAGCTGCTCCCGGCTTCGAACCTTCTTCCTGATCAATAACACCGACTCTCTTCGAGTCTTGCAAATATTCGCAAATATCGTCGATTCGACACGAGGCAAGTATTATTCCTTCGACGCGACAGGTACATACATAGAAAAATATTGCACGCGTGTGTAAAAGCAATAAAATTATATATAATTATGTAAGATTTTCGAAAAATATAAGAATTTATAAATTACATATTACATTCTTTCTCTTATTGAATACAATTTTGACATACATATAAATACATACAATTTACTGAAGAAACAATTAGAGAAATAATAATCTGTAATATGTAATTTAGAAGATTCTTTGATTTCTTGAAAATCTTATACAATATTATATATTTTATTGATTTTACATACACGTGCAATATTTTTATGTGTAAGATTTTCGAAAAATCGAAGAATCTTCTAAATTATATATTATACACATTCTTATAATATAATATAATATTCTATATAATATAACATACCTATACATATGCATATGTATATTAAAATTTTATTCGATGAAAGAAAGAAATGTAAAATTCTTATTTTTTTCTTACTTTTAGAGATTCTTTTAACATATGTGATTAAGAAAAAGTCACTGATTGTGAGACTTGATGTTTAAATCGCTTAAGATGTAGGATTTTAATGAATAGTTTTTTAAAATATAAACAATTTGATAGTTTTGGAATATAAAAACTTTAATCTTATTTAATTATATAAATTAATTATATAAAACAAAATAATTGAAACGGTATAACGTCATATTTTGTATAGATATCTAATAAGATATCTAGTATAAGATTCTCTATGTATATCTTTTTGGAATAACCAAGAAAGGAAAATAGAGGGATGGATTAATTTACGGAAATTTTCCAAATATACCTCAATCTGTGGGGGAGAGAATCTGATTCCGAATCTGTCAAATGATCAACGGAAATTGACAATCGTCGCGTGAACAGGATACGCGATTTCCTTTGAAGGAATCAAGAATAAAGTTTACTGAATAATTTTCAATTAACAATAAATTTATAAGAATCATCTTTATGTAACATTTATTTTATTACAATTTAGGAATTATAATCACGTTTTATAATTATGAGGTATTATGTTTTATTCCGATGCAGAAAAAATTGTTATTTATTAAATATTATTTGAACAATCGTTTTACAATTATGAAGTATTATGTTTTATTCAGATGCAGAAAAAATAGTTATTTAATAAATATTTATTAAATAACAATTTTTTCTACATCTGAATAAAACAATACTTCATAATTATAAAACGATTATTCGAACAATAATACGTATGTATTCGTCACTGCTCTGATATTATGTTAATTTAATTTCAAGTTCTCTCTATCGTTGGTGTATAATTATTGAAATCGTAAATTACAATGACTCGGAGAGTTATACAATGCGCTCGCGTAATATTCTTCGTAACATAAGCTATAAATTATCTTTATTCATTTCAAAACTATGGCAATTTACGCGATTATAACCCGAGGGTGTGTCCTGATGAGTGTAACTTCGTTAATCGATCTCGTTTCTTGCATTCTTCCTAAACGTATTGAAACGGGAGCAATTCGAATAGAAAATAGGGGAAACCAAGACTTGGATAGGGATGCTGACAATATTCTCACATATTTGTTACATTGATGCTTTGTTCTCAATAACTGCAAAGCAATATCTCGATAAAGAATATATAGCACGAAATGTTGAATAAAATTTAATCATTTTAATCATACAGATCATTTAATAAATAAGTTACAAACTAATATCCAAAATATTTAATGCTCTTCATTGGCCTTATTAAGAATTAACATATTTTGTTGAATAACATTTCTTTTAAATAATGAATAAAATTTATTGAATAAATTACAATGTATTGATTTAGTTACAACATTATCTAATAATTAATTAAACTAATTCATTAATATTCCACGAGGAAATCTTTCCTTCTCGTATATGTAATATACATATATGTAATTCCGGCGTTGAAAAATATTTTTTCCAAAAATTAATCGAATCGAATTAATATGCGCAGTAATGTTTCGAAATATCGACATCCCGTGCAGTTTAAATATTTGGCCTGGAATAGTTGGGATACGGTCTAGCCAGTATTTGTGGTGCAAGGGCGTCGGCCCGTCTGACGAGGACCCCTTGCCAACCCCATGAACAACTCCCACACAATATTGAATTCCTGTCCGCGCGCCGTCTCTTTGTGCAAAGTGACAAAATTCGTCGACTACGTATTGCGGCGTTCTATTGTGAAATTTATTCCGCGGATAACATATGAGATACACGCACCGTAATTCATAGATATAAAGCCGTCTACTGATGGTAGACTCCTCCTACGATAAGTCCCTTTCGCAGAGACGCAAAATCGGTGAAAGTATGGGAGTTGCAGCAATGAACGTGACTCTCATCTCTGAGTAGGTACATACACATTCATTTGATTGTTAGAAATCGTCGGAAAAGTGCGTGTTTCTATTGTAAGATAAAAATAAACCGTTATCGCTTTCAAGAGGAAGAGAAAGAATAATAGATGCATTTCGAAATTTAAAGGCATATACTTGATAATAACGTAGGACCGAAATAAATGTAATAATAATTAAAATTCAATGTTAAAATATACAAATAATTACAATATGAAGAGATGTGATTTAATTGTCGCTAAATATTTGTTACATCATGCGTGTGTTATGAGAAAAATATTACGAAACATTTTATGCATTTTTTTCACGTTATTAATCAACATGACGGAAGTTAGTCACACTGATTTCGAATTCACCGGTTGATAAAAATCAGCGGAACCGCGCGTGCGAATGATTATAAATATGTCTGCACTTCCGTTCCTATAACGGTTCAGACTGACTGCTCGATAAATATCGCAGCCGTACCCTTCGTGGTGACTGTGTACAGGACGTTTCAAGAAGGGTCGATGCACCCGAATCTTTTCAAGGACCAAGGTCGAGGTTCTACCGAGCCTAGGATCGATACGCGATTTGCGTGACGCGCACACAGTGACATTATTTACTGATAAAGGGCGTGGCACTTTTATCGCCGATATAATCCTCTTACTCATTTATCGCCCTATCGTGGATTTCACCTATTCGAGATAAACGCTTTACTAAACGACGGATAATGAAATATTGTTTCAGATTACATCCTCTTCTCGTTAAAAAATATTTTTTTTTATTCTTCAAATTAAAATTTAATTTTTAGTAAATACTCCCGAGATTTTATTATACCGTATATTTCATGTTTATTTATGTTAAAAAATCCGTAAGTTCAGTCATTATAAAATAAAATTCGATAAGAATAATTAAACTGTGAAAAAAAACAATTTTTTTAAAAGAGTATACGTAAATAAAAAATGAACGTCAGATTGAATTTGAAAAATCCGTTTATTCAATCCTTTAAAGTACTAACTCGGTACAAAAAAGGGGGAAACACGTGGAAGTGGAAAGCGAAATTGCGCGAACGTGTCGAGCGGAAAATGTCTACTTCACGGTTTTCACGTTAATCCCCACGTGCTGAAACATGCGAGGCCAACGGCCGGAAAGAAATAAATGTCCGTCTAGGCGAGACGGTCGCCTCGGCGCTCGTCTGGCGTCTGCCTACCGTTTCTTTCTCTAGTTCAGGTTTCCATCTAAGTGCGCGACCAGAAGAGGCGGTAACAGGTAGCCTTGAAGGTAGCCAAGCCCGATTCATTTCCTCGAATCTTAACTAGCCGTCTTTATTGCACCGCGATGAAATTAAAAGATACTTGTAAAACGTCCTAGCTGTATATGTATCATAATATCTTATATAACAACATTAATGTCTTATGTTATTTTTTATAATTTAATTATATATTGATAATATTGCTTAACTTTTATTTATATTGTATGTGAAATTTAAATATAAAATGTAGAAGTTTAATTGCAAATATGAATGCGATCCAACTGATTCGGGATGTAGGACGCGTTATTTCCCTAGGGCGACATAGGCTATTCAATGGCGCTATTGAATGGATAGAGGAATTTAGCCTCGGAGCCGGTTTACTAACACCTGAGGATATGATGACGCACAATGCGATTAGTAAGTGATAAAAATAAAACGGTTCTTACAAATACCTGTGCAACAGGAAAAAATGTCTGATTTAATACTAAAAGTGATTCTAGGTATTCATTATCAATTATCATAAAATTCTCGTTAATTTTATTTTATAGAATTTTTTAAATTTGCATAATCTTTTTTTATCTATCAACTGTGAAGATAACATTCATATTTTTCCATAAAAACATAATTTATAAAACTTAATAAATATGTTTAGTGTTTTTGAGATAAATTAATTAAAAATATCTTCTTAATTTTGTATACATTTTATATTCGGAAAATAATAAAATGTAAAGAACTTAATTTTCTATTTTACGTTTATAATGAAATACATTGAGTGTGAAATGCACATTATTCTTGCTCATAGCATAATGATGTCATGAATATATCATATGATTTCACGCGCAATGT